CACGTGGTAGAAGGTGGAGTGGCAAAAAGGGCCTAAGCTACTTCCCCCCAGTCCTTTTTTAAGCATTAATCCATTCATGGGGATGGAACCTTCATGACTTAATCACTTCCCCAAAAGGCTCCACTTCAATGGCTCCTCTTAATATCACCTCAACAGAGAATTTTCAACATGAATTTTGGAGGGGATGCACATTCAAACCATAGCAGAAGACAAAGGGTTAAAGAAGAATTAAAGGAATAGTTAGCAGAAAAGGTTGAGGGTTTTGGAAAAAGAGTTTAGAAATATACTTTATTACTGAAGTTTCTACCCTGGAAGATGCTTTGTTAAAGTTCTGCCCATCCCACTATATTGCTAATCCCATTCCTCACCCTGCCCCTTAAGAAAATAGGATGGCTTTCCTAAGTTGTTAGTATAGCTGTTAATGTAAACTGCTTCTCTTCCCTTTTCACTGTCCATTTCCTAACAATTCAAGTCCAAAACCCATTAGGTGGGGCTGAGCAAGGTAATGCTATCAAGGCTCAGAGCTGGGTATCATATAAACTCCGAGGAAGATCGTTGCATAGGAGCAGCCTCCACAGTGTGTCAGCCCAGATGAAGGTGAGGAGTATGTGCATGCAGGATGTCAGAGCCCAAGAGGTAGGTAAGACGTCCGTGTAGTGGGTGGTAGTGGTGACTACCCAACAAGTGCTGTCAGCCTGAGCAGGATGAGAAGGGCATTTGTGTGGGAGATAGTCTCAGCATGAGGTATCAGAATCTGAATGTGGTAAAGGGGGCTTCTGTGTAGAGCACAGTGGCAGCAGCAATGGAATATTGTTTGCATGCAGGGGTACTGATCAAAGTAAATATATTAGGGATAACAGCTGCCAGGCTTCTCACTGTCCTAGAAGGGATTATAAATATTGAAAGGGAGAAAACTAATAATCGTAGATGAAAATGTATACACACACACAGACACACACACACAGACACAGGTTTTAGTTCTGTCCACTAAGACGGCTGGGGATCAATGAGCATACCTGGCACCTAGATCTTGGTTTCTTAAACATACTCTTATTGAAAGGACCCTGCGGTCTTGGAGAAATGGCTGATTCTGGAGCTGTGGCAGAGAAAGTACAGGATGATCCTGGAACATCTTACTCCAGAAATTAAGGAAGTTTTCCAAGAATGATGGGAACAGGTCAAAAGGACACACAAGCCAGCTTTAAGGGACTGTCACTGGCTAAATATGGGACAATTTGAGCATCAAAATAAATAATAATGGATTACAGGGGGCTGGTCAGTTAGCTCAGTTGGTTAGAGCGTGGTGCTAATAACACCAAGATCCAGGGTTTGATCCCTCTACCAGCCAACTGCCAAAAAAAAAAAGGATTATAACTCATTGGATAAAGTAGGAATTCATAAAAAAAATTATTTGAAAGTTTGACGAAGAACAGGATAGTTGCACAATCTCAGCGTTCAACCCCTTTCCCTACAAAATATTAATTGACAAAGAGAAAATAAACTACAGTGGGAAGCCAGACAGATACCACCTTACTCAAGTGATAGAAGTTAACACAATTAGTAAGGGGACAAAAAGGGACAAATCAAAATTATATTCCACTTGATAGGATGCAGTGAGAACAACACAGTACCATTCCCGTGATTTTCCTACCAAAAATATAGCCTGAATCAAATCGTGAGGAACGGTCATCAAATAAAATTGAGGGATAGTCTACAAAACAATTGGCTTGTAATCTTCAAAAGCATCAAAGTCATGAAATCAAGGAAAAACTGTGAAACTTCCAGTCCAAGGGAGAAGAAAGAGATATTTCATCTACTCACACTAAATGAAAAGTGATTCTGGACCGGATCCTTCTGCCTAAAGGACATCATTAAATAGGGTCTGAAGATGAGATGGTAGTCATGTATCAATGTTGCTTTCTTGATTTTGATGGTTGCATTGTGGTTATGTAGGAGAATATCCTTGCTTGTAGAAAACACATTCCTCATGAATGTTTCAAGTGGACCAGAAAAGCTTTCTGCAGTATCAGGATATTCCCTGCCTTGACCCTTCTTTTTTCATATTTGGATATATAAATTTCATTCTTTAACATGCTTCTCAAGCAAGCATTTTCTAAGCTCAACTTCCTAGTTGAGAACCCTTGTATAACTTTCCTTGTGCTTTAAAAGATGATGTGTGAACTCCATGATGACTTTAAAATATACAACTTCTTCCCACTTGGCATAGGACTATTTTGCTTTTATTACATTACTTACGGGGATGACAGAATGTGGCATAGTCTCTCTGCTGCTTCTCTTTCCCACCCCTCCTTGACCAAAAAAGAAAAGAAAAAAGAAAAAGGATAGTGGGGTGAGGAATGCCCTACTGCTGAGTATAAGGAGAACAACCATCCTGGACAATTCTGCTATCTTAAGCACCAGGTGTTGATTTATGAGTAAAGAGACAGGCCAAGAAAGGAAACAGGCTTGGGTTGTACCATCAGGTAGCTAAGCATTGTCTAAGATATGTGCACAGTTAAGCCATTACATTCTGTAGTGTTAAGCCTTGACAGTGAACTCCAAATCAATTATACAACAGATAAAACACATCTGGTCAGTCTTTCCTACTTCTTAGAATGACTACGTTTCTTTTCTTTTCTTTTTTTTTTTTGTCTTTTTCGTGACCGTTAAGGGAATCACCAACCCTTGGCTTGGTGTCGTCCGCACTGCGCTCAGCCAGTGAGCGCACCGGCCATCCCTATATAGGATCCGACCCCGCGGCGGGAGCGCTGCTGCACTCCCAGCGCCCGCACTCTCCCGAGTGCGCCACTGGCTGGCCCACAATGACGACGTTTCTAATTCCAGGACAGTAATCTCCCTTTTAATGGAGCAGGCTGAGTTTAATGGAAACTCATACCTACAATTAAATTTTGAGATTGGTGGCACCAAATTAACAAGCTTAGTGAAAAGAAGATGGCAAGGAAATGACTCACAGAATAACTTTTTGCCTTATTTTGTGATTTCATAATTTGATTTGATTTTCATTATTTGATTTTGGAGCTATTGCATTGACTTTGGATTCATCAGGGTCTTTGCATCCATCTCTAGATAAGGCATCCAAGACAGCAAATTAGGTTACAAATCATATGCATTCCAGCCAACAAGTGGCATGTTTTAAACAGTTTGTAAGTTTTCAGTTGAGAGATGAATTCTGTGGACTTCATTGCATCAATATAGGAAATAATCTCTAAAAAACTGAATTGCCTCTATGACTTTGTCTCGTATCTTGCCTATTTCTCGGGTATTCTCTACTGATAAAATCACAAGAAAAAAATTAACTTCAGTCCTTAAATAATTTTACAATTCAATTCCATCTTTAGTTTTTACTTTTATATAGATGCTACATTAGATGTAAAAGGTCTTTCAAAGATTATTTTAAAATCTACCTACTTTTAAATTTTCCTTTAAAAAAACCCATAGTAGTAAATAGGGGTCACATAAATGCAAACTATGCAGAACAAACTGAGATTTTAGATTTTTTTTTCAGTTTAATAAAGTTTGAATACTTTCAAACCTCTTATATAATTCCCTTAACATCTGGCTTGGCAAAACTCTAATTTTATTTGAAAAAGGGCTTTTAAAAATGTGGTGTCTTTGGAGAATGCTTAAGTGAGTGTGGGGTGGGGAAAATCCATATCCAAATATCTTTATAAAGCAGATTCTTAAAATTTGCAAAGCTATTTACCACTGAATACACTGCCACTTATATAACTTCTCTCTTTTCAGCATGTTAGAAAGCAAAGAGAATGGAAATAAGGCAGGAAGAAAGAATGAAAGAGTGAAAATAATGAAGGTAGGTTAGTAAAGGACATTTAAAAATTCCCCTCCTCTTTCCTCTAACATTTTAACTTCTCAGCAGCTAACATTTATAAGGAAAATATCTTGCTAGGAAAAGCAAAGAATCAAAAATAGTAGGATATAGGGAGTATAATAGGAAGATGACCTATTAGGTCACCTAGAGATGACCTATAGGTGCCCTAAGAGGGCACAATTGCTGGGGAAAGAAAGCCAAGGGAGGAAGATCTAGAACTGGATAAAACCGGGCCTCTGCTATATTGACCTTCTTTTTATAATGAATTAAATTTTATTTATATGGAGGACTGAAGTTATATGGGGCCAAATGTTTAAGTCCTTTTGTCACTGATGAGACTTTATTCCTTTCCAGATTTTGATAAGGAAATCCCACACTCCAAGGTAAAATTTGCTTCTCTACCTATGCATCTATATGAGTCACAAGCCATCAAAAGCCCAATTTACTTACCTGTATTAAGGGATTTATGTGGAATGAAAGGTCATTTGCTTAACTGACCATTTCCCATTCAACCTTACTTTGATTCAATCTTGAAAATTATCTGGAGGACACGCAATCCTGACACCAGGAAGGGTCAAGGCAGAGTGGGAGGTCCATTTAAGGCTAACCCAGACTCTCCAGCTGCTCTTGAATTGAGAATGCCCTTGGTTTAGGTCAAGGTGCCAAATCTATACACCTTAGTGCTAAGCAGGAATTGGATTTACCCTCTCTTCACAAAGGAAAGTAACTTGGACAAGCCGGTCATTTGGAGTAGACAGAGCTTAAACAAGATGACAGCTGAACACTGAAGGTGCATGTGTTGATATCCATCTTCAAAGTAGTTCACAGTCAAACCATAGTGACTAACAAAATAGGTCAGATCTACCTGTGGAACCTTATCCTGAAGATGGCAATGAAGTGCAGCAAATGCCAAAGACTAGCCCTCAAAGGAAGGTGTGTGGGCTAAAGTATTGTCACTGGAAAAGGAGAAGGTGTCAGGGCATGTTGTAGTAATTGTACCCTTCAAATAATAACAAAGATACACATTTGAGTAGGTAGAATTTGTTAATGTAAGAAAAATTAGAGGAAATTCATATAGTTTGTAATAGGCCCAGAGTATGGGAATAGAGAAAAGAATACGCTGAAACAACAGTATACACAGACACACATGTGCACACGTACACATTATTTTTCAGTTTAGCTTCTTACATCTTCCTTTCCTGACTCCACAGCAGCACACAGATTAGAGGGTTCTAGCAGAGTCCAACTATACAATTCTACGCTACTCAGAAAATATATGGCAAGACAGCATCCCTGTTTTCTCCTACGTGGTTTAACGCATTCATGAACAGTGAAACATTTAGAAACAAACAGATGTCAGATACCAATGGTTGATCACACCAAGAAATGATACAGGAGATGTTCACAGACTTGACTTTAAACCTGATCCTAACTGATGATAGGGTGGTTTTCATCACCTCCACACACACCCTCACACATCCAAAATAGGACAGTTCAGTTTCATAACAGTCTAACGTGGTAAAACATCCAGGAGATTTCATGGAAGGAAGTGGCTGGCGGCCATAAGAGTCTGGGCACCATAGTCTTTTGGGACTGTGTCTCTTTGGAGAAGGCCCTTCCATCATCAGACTTAGCTGGAAACTCATTCACTTGAAGAGAAGGCGAGACATGACTCCTCAGAACTAAAAGAGGTTGTTGGGGAGCCTTTTTCTTCTCACTGAAGGATGTTACACAGCATTCAAGCGGATGTCCCCACAGGGAACTTCTGTGGGTGTTTCTGGAGTAATACTTTTAATAATACGCTGTTGGGAAGAAAATACAATGTTATAAACATTCTTATAATTTAATAAAATTTTGAAAATATTTCAGCACTCATACTAAAACAAAGCTTAAAAAGCATTTTAATGACATTGAATATTAAGTTGGAATGGTCCAAGAACCTGGCCAGTCCCTGACTTACCTGGGCGACGAAGGCAGGTGTCTCACTGACTTTCCTTAAGAAAGGAATTCCCAATTTATTTATTCTCAAATATGGATAAAAATGGAATATCCAGAAACTATAAGCATCTGTAAAACTACATAAATCATGATGAGCTTTCAATAGAACCTCTGCGGGCCTATAATATGCCTTTGAATGACTTGGGAAAGGGCACCCTTTTCTCTGGACACAGGAGGCTTCTGCGACCACACAGGGGCTGGAGAGCAGAGTGAGTGCTGGGTTTTGGCCCCCTCCCCTCAGCCAGGCTCCTTGTGCCCTGCATACACACGACAGTCATAGTGCACGGTGCCATCAGCCACTGATGAAATGAGTCCACCTGTGAAGCCATACTAGTTAGTTCACACAAGAGTGCAAATTATGACAATTAAACTTAAAATGATGTGACCATTTAAATCATCATTTCTAAAGCAATCTCATGTTGATACAGTGTTCATCACAGAAAGGGGCTGAGAAATTCCACTACAGAAATAGCTGAGGTACACAGAAGCTTTAAGGCAGATCCAAAATATGCTTAGGCATGAGATATACAACTGGCCTTGTAAAACTTAGCATCAGAGTGACACAAAGCAGCTCAGGGATGTGAAGAAGAAAAAACAACAGCATGGTGGAGGCTTAGAAAAAAATCTTTAAGGGGCCAGCCTGGTGGCGCACTGCTATAGTGCGCCGCTTGGGAAGCGCGGTGGCGCTCCCGCCGAGGGTTTGGGTCCCACATACAGACCGGCCGGGCTCACCCAACACCGAGGGTTGCGATCCCGTGGCCGGTCCCGGTCCGGTACGGGCGCGACACTTGCTGGTCACAAAAAAAGACAAAAAGGGAAAAAAAAAAAAATCTTTAAGTTGCTTAGTAAAATCTTTGATGTCCAAAAGTCTATATGTATGGTAAGCAGGCAAAATTGGATCTGAAAGCATTTTTTTTTTTGATTTATTGATCTTCAGGTAAACTCTGCTTCTGTCCTTTTTATTTTGTTTTCTTTTTTGTTTGGTTTTTGTCTGGCCAGTTTAGAGATCAAACCCTGGACCATGGTGTAATCAGTACCATGCTCTAACCAAGCTTTTTTATTTTCTCATTCTGAGAGTCTGCTGTTCTTTAATGAGCAAGGCCCATGGAATTCAAAAACTTCCATTCCCATAGTTAATGAAATTCACAAAATTGTACATTTTGTGTTCCTCACGACCTTAGTTTCTGCGTATTGAACTCTCACAGTAGAAATCCCTTTAAAAAGGAATTGCTGCAGTGCTCATCAGCTACCAGAGCACACCAAGTCATTGAAAGCAAAATTTCAGAAACCGTCCACTCCCACAGATGGGATGTAAACTATAACTGACTAAACGGAGCCTGTCTTAGTGATCACTACAACTAGTCTTAAGTGGAGCTATGGTGTGCAGGCAAATGGTGGAGTCAAGGCCAGCAATAAACAACATGATAGACAAAAACCTTTGGCTTTTGTGCCCTAACCCCTTCCCACACATTTTGTTGCCCTTCTGGCTGCTGATTTCCCAAAATGCCAAGCCCACTTTTATTTTCCATATTTTGGCAGCATTCTAGCTGCCAGACTATTATTGCTCTCAAAATTTGCAGGCCCTGGCATTCTGCAAGATGTTAACTAGCTAAACTGAGAAATGGATCACTGCTGACATCTTTATAAATAAGTAAGTACTCATTAGGGACCATCTTCCAGTATCTTTGTGCAGGTTATTAGGGATTTCTGTGACAATGACCTAAGCCGGTGGATGACTCCAACGTTGAGACTTCTAGGCTGTGGGTATGTGTGATATCCTCCAAATTACACCAGTGTGGCTCACTCTGCAAACGCCATCTTGGTATATGGCAAGGACCCAAAAGAGTTAAGAAATTCACATTTCTCTTAGCCTTTTTTTTTTTTTAACCATACCAAAATTTTATATAAGGCCTTCCTTCCTCAGAATGCTAGAGACCTTCAAGTCTGGTATTCACAAAGAATTATAAAGAATTCTAGTCCCTTGGGGTGCTTGGCAAAAAATGCAGCATGCTTTATTCCTCTCAGAGATTAAGCATGCACATGGACATATCAAAGGTTTCTGAAAAGTCCTATAGTAAAGAAACCTGTTTAACTTACTTTAATCCAGCATTCTCCAAAAATTATCTGATGACATGAGTTTTTCCCCCAGCACCTATTGATATCCTGTGGAACTACTCCTCAAAACACACTTTGGGAAATGTTAATGAAGTCCAATGAGCACATTTTAAAGATGAGGAAACTGAAGCCCAGAGAAGGTGAGTGACTTGCCATAGCTGACAGGTCTTTTTCTTCTCAGTCCTCTTTGATAGGCTATACCATGCTGCTTCCCGGTAACCCATTGTTCCCCATCTTGTGGATCTACAGTAAAGATGGCCCTTGTGACCAACTGGGAGAATTTGCAAGAAAAATGACCAGAATTCGAGGTGCAATCTGGGACTAAAGAATACTGATATTTATTAACCTAACTAGAGTTCCCACCCCTGACACTGGCCTCTGGGTTTGAAGCAACAAGAGCTCATGGATCATCACAACTGCCATAAAGGACAACCCGAAGGAATGAATTCAATGACTCTGGGCCTGAGAGTGTATCACAAGCAACAAACACCAGGGTCCAAGGCTATTTGGGAAGAATAAGGTCATAATAGGACTGATTTGGGTGTAGGAAATTAGTCACTGCAGAGTTCTGTTCACCTAGAATTCAGTTTTTCTGTTTGGAAGAAATCAACCTGGTTGTTTTCAGAAAGAGCTCATTTTTAATTGCTTCATGTTTTCTTGCCTCTCATTTCTTATGAAATGTTTTAGGATGATTAGTGTGATAGACTCATATCACAGTTTGCTCATAAAAGTCCATACACTAGCCCACCTCAGTTCTCAGGCCATTATAGGTTATGGTTCCCTCTAGTAGCTTTTCCCAATACCACCCTTCACCTTTGAGCTTGTCCCCTGCAAAAGCACCCTACTGTGGATGCATAAGTAGCCACTTCTTCAGATTCATCTGCCATAGTACCCTTCTTACTGTGGCAAAAAACACAACCAAGCAAGTAACAACTGAAGTATTTTCAATTCTGGTATTGTGAAGTATAACACTGCTGGTGATCCAGGTGGCTGAACCAGACAGTATGGAATGGAAGATGGCTACTACTCTCTCCCTAACCTCTAGCACCAAGTTCTACATTAGCAAATGATTAACCCTGAGAACAAGAAGAAGTTGCACCTAAAAGTGCAAAGAGCACTGAACCAGGAGTCAGAAGACCTTGAATCTGAGTCTCCCTGTACTGTGCATCTTTGATCAAGTACCTGAAATTTTGAGCAGGATCATCCCCAGCCTCAGTGTCCATGTCTGCTAGTAATACTGCCCATCTACCTCACAAGGTATTGGGATAACAAAATGAGATAATCTACATGTAGATGCTTTGAAAAGTAGGCACTATCACACAAATTGTAAAGTACCGTTATTAACATTTTTACGGCACGTTATTCATGAATTCATACTGAAATTCATTTCATTCATACTGAAATGAATCATGACAAAATTTTTTTATTCCAACAGCTTGAGCTGTAACTATGATATTGTTCCAACACCCTTACTTTGTGGTGATTTTCAAAATAGTATTTGTCACATTGCTCTTAGAAAAATGACGGTGGAAAAGTAGTTGTGTGATAAGTTTAGAAAGCTGTACACTGAGCCCAAGCTGGATGCTGTGGTGCACACAACTGATCAGCTCACTCTTTTGTCACTGTATTTGCAGCTTTGGGAGACACCTTAAGATGACAGTGGCAGCCCTAAGAGGTCTACATCAAGATGTAGGTATATAAATATATATGGTTGAGAGCCTTCTGGTGAATTTCATGTGGTAGACTTATCTCTTTTGAATAGAGCATAACAAGAGAATCATTTTCTCCCCAAACAATTACCAGTCTGAACACACAGACACCCACCCACACACATACACACTAATTAGCACATACCTCTTTAAATGTTCCTGGAGTGATGATCAGCCTATAAGTTATATAGGTGGGGATGCAGATGAAAGATGAAGTTCCTATGCAGTAACCCAGGATGACACTCCAGTGGGGATAATTATATTGGAAAAGTCGTAGCTGTGGTGGGCTCATCAAAAAGCTGCAAATGATGAACTAAAACAGATATTCCAAGACATATTAAAAATCTTAATGATGTCCATGCAAATAGAAACAGTTCTGATACCACAAACACCAAATGCTAAAGCTAACTTTGAGAAATTCCCAAAATGAGATACACAATAGATTTAACTCTGACACACAGAATTACCAATTTCTGTACTCAAGCTGCAAAAATAAAACAGCTAGGTGCTTTTCTTGATTTTCCTTCCCATCCTCCCCTCAACCCGTACTGTGGGGCTGTCTTAGCATCCCTACAGTTACCCCTACAGTTAGGAAAGTTACAGCACCCCCTTCAGCACAATCCTCGGCCAAGGAGAAGAGACTGGCATCCACTGGGAGTGGTCTGGGAGTGTCCTTGGCAAACAGCAGAGGAATGAACTGAGTGACCTTGACACAGCCCCTGTCAGGCCCCGGGCTTCATATTTCTCTCTGCTTTGCTTTCATTTCCCTGCACTTCTCAGCCATGATTGCTTTTGGTCAGATGGAAGGTGCCTTATGTCCTGGAGAGATAATAAGGTTCTCAAGACCTGGAGAGGACTTGGGCTCCTGAGCGTGGGTTCCTTCTCCCCTTTTCTTAGCTTTCTGCTTTCTGCATAAGCTCCATAGCCTGGGGTTTCAACACGGATGGCTCTGCTACGAGGCAGCTCAACAATGAATGACAGCCTGTCATGGGTCCTCATAATGAAAGCAATTACAGAAGGAAAAAAACAGCTTAACACACTTTTCATTTGAAAATTCTGTGAAGATTTTGACCAAGAAAAATTCCACAGTGCTCCCCCAACACCCAGTTCATGAGTTTTCTTATTTCACTTTGGTTTCCAGAGAGAGTGTAAATATCAGTTTTTGCCTAGTAACCACTGTGCTGAAATTGTTATTGCTCTTGATTTAATTTTATTTTATTACTTCATAGTCATAAAGACAGTAATGTAAATTATTTGCGTGGTGAAGCATCTATTTATATCTCTTTTTTTCTTTGTCTGCAGGTAATAAAATGGGAAATTGTTAAACACACATCCATCTTCTGAGCAGCGTTATCCTAAGTCCGGGAGGAAGCCTTCAAAACTGGAGCCCGGTCAATCGCAACCTTTCTCCTGACCTACTCTCCTCCTCCTCCCCGGACCTGGCTAGCTAAGGAAGATATTTTGGAACAGGGAAAGAGAGGGGCTGATTAGGAGCCACCCCACCATAATTCATCTCATCTTGATGTCAGGATTGTGAAATCCAGCTGGGCCAGGGCGGGCTCAAGCTCTCGTTGAGGACAGTATATAAGTGTTGCTTCAGAAATCCTCTCACACACTCTGGCCTCTCCCTGCCCAATACGCAGCACTTTCTTTTTTTATAACTTGGCTGCCACGAAAAAGAATATTTTTAGTAAGCTACTCGTTGTTTAACTAAGTGGCCTTAAAAAGCTCAGAGCAGGGGATCTGTTAAGTAAACCTAGAAGTGGAAGACGGATTTGCTTCCTCTTAATTGGGCACTAGAGCTTTTGCCTTTAGAGGAGGGAGTGAAGCAGACATCATGGGAACTAGAAGAAATGTGCTTCAACGTACCAAATCTGTACATGGGTTTTGCTGGGCAAAGAAACTCATGGACTATGCACCAAGAGCTTACCCAGTCTGCTGGACAACCAGAACTTCACAGAAATAAAAATACCAAGAGCCTCAGGGCCAGGGTGAGGCATGTGAGGCACGCATCTCAGGTGCAACATTTAAGGGGGAGCTGAAATTTCAGTAATCGAGATAAACAGTATTTTAATGCAATTTTAAAAAGACAGAATCTGACAGGGCCAGATTAAGGTAAAGCAAGTGAGGTGAGCCACACAAGTATACAGTTGGATCCTGCTTTATTTTAAATTTTGATATTTTGTTCATCATGGGTCTTTTGCATTAATTTTGATTTTTAAGAATATTGCATCGAAATACCATTTATCTTGAGGACTAGTGCTTTGGTGCGCCCTTAACTTTTCCACCCGTGGTGAGTGTCTCACCTGCCTCACCTGCATCTCAGCCCTGGACATCATTTGCTCACTGAGCTGGGAATATGAAAGTAAATGAACAAGCAAACATGTTTCTGCCCTCAAGGAATTAAGCCACTGTCTCTTCTTCCTTTGAAAAACAAATGAAAGGATTTAAGTAGATTATCTGGAAGCACTGGTAATAATGTAAATTAATAACCCATTTATGTCAGGACTTCTGCTTCTGGTAATGATGGACTAGGTGATTCTGACTAACCCTCTCAATGAAGACCACTAAAACTTCTCGATTAAAAAAAAGTATGTTTTAAATTTACCTAAAACGGGCCGGCCCGTGGCTCGGGAGAGTGCGGTGCTGATAACACCAAGGCCACGGGTTCAGATCCCATATAGGGATGGCCGGTTAGCTCGCTGGCTGAGCGTGGTGCTGACAACACCAAGTCAAGGGTTAAGATCCCCTTACCGGTCATCTTTTTAAAAAAATAAAAAAATAATAATAATAAATTTACCTAAAAGCATCAGCAAGCCAATAAAGTAGTAAGAAGCTACCAGGTCAAGATCTAAGGGAAAGCTGGAGCCCAGAGCTTGCACAAGAGCCCTGGGCCCTGGAAATATTTGCTGCTTGAGACAAAGGTTGGTTTTGGTTTTGGAAACCTCCAGGGTCTGGGTAAATGGAAGTCGGGGAGGGATTCTGGGGTAGAGAGAGACACATGAAGTGTCAGAGAGGCAAGAATGAGCATGTTGTCCATCATACATACAAGGGTACTTCAGAAAGCCTGTAGAAAGATGGGTTTTATCTTTTAATTTTATTTTTCCACAATTTTTTAAAGTACTCTCATAAGTTAATGTTGAAATGTATAGGTACAAAAAAGTACAAAAATAAAGGGCTGCCTCAAAACAGAATGCAAACAGGGCTGTTTTAAAACAGGGAGGGACAGCTGTGTGCCAAAGAGATGTCCTAAGACAAAATGGGATGACCTAGGTACTCTTAATAAGCTGGAGATGGATTGAAGGAACAGTCTAACAACCTTTCTGGCTCTAAAAGATCAAAAAGCCCCTGCAAATAAAGTTGAGGGTGAATGAAAGAACTGCAGAGTAGTTCCTGCTGATGTGCAGTCAGTTACCCCAGTTGTTCTCAGAATGCACTTGGGAGGCCAGCAAGGCCTTTCTCATCTTTGGGCAAAGGTCCCTCTTCAGGCGGGTGTCAGGAGGAAAGCAGGGGCAGGTTAGGCAAGGATAAAGTGAATACTGAACACATCTTGGCAAATGGATAGCCCCTGGACTCAACTTTCCTACCCAGGTCCTTTGGCAATAAGTGGATTCTCCTTTTGACTCAGATCTATGCTTGAGGACCTTTGTGTGGGTTCTCGTTAAAAAAATGCATACAGGGCCGGCCCGTGGCTCACTCAGGAGAGTGCGGTGCTGATAACACCAAGGCCACGGGTTTGGATCCCATATACAGATGGCCGGTTCGCTCACTGGCTGAGCGTAGTGCTGACAACACCAAGTCAAGGGTTAAGATCCCCTTACCGGTCATCTTTAAAAAAAAAAAAAAAATGCGTACAAAATTATAAATACAAAATTACTAGAGCCCCTCCCAGGGCCTTCATGAGCAGCACAGTAAATTCTTCCCTGGTCTTGAACAGTTCTTACTTGTTAGTGACTCTGGACCCTTCATTTAATGTCACTAAGCCTCAGTTTCCTTAAATGTAGAATAGGATTACCAGAACTGTAACTACTTCATGGAATTATTGTGAGGATTAAAAGAGCAAGGGTATAAGTTTAGCATAAAGTGTGGCCTGACACTTAGTGCTCCATAAATGTTATTTATCATTATTGTTGAGCAGAGCAGTGATGTGCCAAAGTGACTGCAGCCCAGACTACCCTACGGTATTAGAAGTCAGAAGAGTGGTGAACCACAGTGGGCATAGTGACCAGGAGGGGGCACAAGAAGGACTTCTATAGTGCTGGTCATGTGTCCCTATATAGGATCCGAACCCGCGGCCTTGGAGCTCACAGCGCCGCTGCGCTCCCCGCGCCATACTCTCCCGAGTGAGCCACGGGGTTGGCTCATAAAATTTATTTTTTATAAGTGTCTGGGGGTGAGTCTTTCTCCAGGGTGGGAAGGAGAAGGGAAATGACAACTCACCAGGAGAAACAAAGGACTGACGGTTACCCAGCAGAGCCTCCAAAACCATCCTGGGCTGAAGCCAAGCATTTCCTTCACGTCACTGCAGAACTGAGTGATGCCTAAAGTCATCCAAAAGAGGAAGATCAACTGACTGAGAGAGGACATGGACTGTCCTTCTATCCCTGGATTCTCAGGGAGAGTCAGGGTCACTGGGATCAGCATTGGGAATGACAAGGAGGACTGCATTTTTGTAACAAACAAAGCTCTTTCAACATAGAGCAGGAGGACTAATGGACGTTTAAGGAAAGACCTAAATCCCTCTCTTGGTGTCCCCATTGCCTTTCTATGATCTCAGGGTATATTTGATTTTACTGTTATTATAGAAAAGAAAGTTGAATTTTGTCTAGGAATGGTGAACCTGCCTGATAGAGACTGACTGACCGTACACTGGAAACTTTCAAGGGAAAATTTTGACCACATTACTGCTCATTCATATGGCAGATCAAGATCAATGTTCTTCTACAAAAAGTAACTGTCTTGGAAGTGAGAACTGAGAACTCAGACCGAGAGGCGAGAAGTTGAGCAGGGGAAGGTGATCTGCAGTTGCTTTCCAACAGCTCCCAGCACTTCCTAGGGCAGGTCTATAGAGAGCTGAACTTTGTCCTCTGAGTCGCTCAGGAGGTTGGAAGGACATCTTCTTTTTAAAAAACTAGGCCGACCTGGGACTCAAAATGTGCCCCCTTTCTTCTTCACGGTATGTATAATGATTACCATGCTAAAGTGGTTTTATTATCATAGAAAGTAGGAAAATAAACACATTTTTAGAATGAAATAATCACTTGTTGATTTAAAGAGAGGCATCTCCGAACTTGGTGTTCTTCATTTCAGCTGCCTGTGTCCTCCCCCGCCACACCCAGGGGCCCTTGGGACCTCTGCCAGTGGGCCCGGGTCCCTGCTGCTTTCACCCTTGTCAAATTCCATCCCAGGACCAGAGGGGATGAATTGGGGATTTTACCCAGGCAGATAACACGAGTGACAGCATTCTTCATCTTCCTAGAAGATAAGCTCCTAAGCTCTGTCTCAGGGCTCTGCAAGGAGCTCTTGCTTGAGAAATTTAAATTCAGGGCCACTTTATTTAACAATAGTATATTGTACACTTGCATATGCATTTGTTATGCACTGGTTCTGTGTGGTCTGTTCAATTCTTAGAGCCCATCAGGATCTTAACCATGGTGGATAAGCTATGTGGAACCCTTCAGCCTGTCTCCCCTGGGTAAATATTCAAACTCAGAAGGAAAAAAAATTCTCCCAAAAGTATGGGCGATCAGCTGTACAGAGTGTAGAGGAAATGACGACCTATTTCTGAAGAAGGCAAGCTGAGGTTATTTTACAGACCCATCAGGAGGTCACAACTTGGAAACCGTCCCTCCCTGCCCTTCTTTGATGAAATCAGCCCTTCTCTAGCATGCTGGCTGCGGGCGATGTAGAAAGGATCATGGCTGGCCGAAGGAAGCATCTTACCATAGAACCAAGACACAGCGATGGCTTCTATGAGCACGACGGTGAGCACCGCGGGGCCCGTGGCGTACTCCTCCAGCAGCTTCACCACGTAGGCCCCTCCCTGGAAATGACATCACAAACCTGGTTAACAGCTTGCTGAACTGCTGACCCTCCTTACTATAGGGGCCTGCAGAAGTTTCTTGACTTAGGATGATTCTGGAAAATTCCCACCTTGGAATATAAGTACCCAGAGCCTGCCTCTTGGACCTGGCCTTTGCAGTATGGGCCAGGTTTCACCCCATCAGATACCTCTTCCCGCCCTGTAGGGCACATTCGTCTTACTTGTTTCCTTTCCCCATTAAGCTTTAAAAGACAAACTTCAAAGAGCCTCTGGATCTGTTTTCAACTTTCTTCAACTACTAAACACCTACTCTGTACTCTACCCTGGAGAAGCCCTGCCTCTAAAGACTAAATCTGGGAGGGTCCAGGATACCAGACACATTGAGTGCCTTGGTCACAGTTTTCCCTTCTGTCCTAACTCATGACTCCCTTGAGTCCTACTCAGGCATCACAACCCCCTCCCAACCCTGCTGAAGCTCCACTGGGCTCACAGCTTGAAGATGCATATGTGCAAAATCTGCCTTGAGTCGGAAGGTCACAAGCCTAGGATGCCTGTGGATACTATCTGTGCACGCTTTACAGTATTTGCCTCAGACACTTAAAAAAAAAAAAAAGCCAAAGGTCTGACTTCTTTACCATTGCAAGTTCTGGAGGAAACAAAGTGGCATTACGCACATGAGATGCCAGCCTCCAGATGTTCTGTATATCAGGACATCAGGGCAATATACCCATGAAAGCAGCCCTAAGAAATGGAAATAGACTGGAAAAGCAAATCCTAGCATTTCTCCAGATATTTCTCAATCCTGAAATCTAGTTGGATCCTTTGTAAAACACTAAGAGTCTCCAGATACTATGCACAGATTCTATAAACAGATGGTGAGAGAAACAGTTTTTCTTCTTATCCTTGATGCCTTGATGACAAACTTTATAATGGCAGTAACAACCCCTCTTTCTTGGGCCCCAAAGCCACTGTGTGGCATGGAAGGAAAGAAACAGCTTGGAGCATTCTGTTGCCCTAGGGGAGGCCAACTCAAAGCTGAGGGGTGTGGTACTCACAAAAGTCAGGGTACTCAGGGATCCAAAGAAGCAGGTAATGACCACGGCGAGCACAAACCATTCCCGGCGCTTGGCCCAGATGTGCGGAAACTCATCCAGCACAGCTGTGATCACCCCCTCCAAGCCTGCAAACTAAGAGGTACATGCAAACAGTCACAGTGGAGGCTTTGGGACAAGTCTGTGCCTTCAGGGTAGTTAACAGGAGGGAGGAGTAAGATTGCTGGGTGACCAGTCAAGCTGATGATTACCAGTTCCCCAGCTCTCAGGCCCATGAAAACATCTAGGAGTATATTTCCCTGTCTTACATTGTCATTTAAACCCATCACTAAGGACATCCAGGAAAGCAAATACAGCACATGGACAGAACTTCAACACATGAGGTCTCTTGGGGAGACTAGTTGCACCAGAAAGGCCAACCCAGAGCTGAGAATCACTCCACACTAAGTGCATGGCACTGAGCTGTATGCTGGGCAGGGCAGAGGCACGAGAGATCTCACCTGGCCAGGTGTCATCATGTGGGCATGGGACAGTGCACAATAACAGTTCACACATGCTGAGCCCTTGGTCTGTGCCAGACACCTTGCCCACATTATCCTGTTAATGACTCTTGAATGTAGTAGAGGGCAGTAAGTGCCATCGCTGAGAAGTGAGCAAAGGGCCTGGGGAGCACCAGGAGGGAGCAGCCAATGCTGCCTGGGATGGCCAGCATGGGAGAGAATGATATAGTCTCTTCCTCTCCTCTTCCTCCTCCCAGAGCCCGTTTCCCCTCCTCATTCACTCACCGTGCTGTCCAAGCCCAGTGTGATCAACATCAGGAAGAAAATGATGGCAAAGAAAGTGGACGCTGGCATGTTGGCTATGGCTTCTGCATATGTGATGAAGAGGAGGCTGGGGCCTGAGACAGAAGGGGAGAGGAGGATGTGGTTGCCAAGACCTGTCCTACAAAGATGTTGCAAAGGAAAGCTCTGCCTCACCAACACTTACAATCCTCATCACAAGTCCTTACATGAGAAGTAGGCTTTGACATGTGCCAAGTGCTTGCTCGTGCTCCACACCATCTTACCTGGCCACCCCATGTCCCGGGAGGCAGGGAGGGAAGAGTATCCACCTTGAAAATTGTATACCCTCAATTAACATGGGGGATGGAAACACCCTAGGACTAACAAAGCTGCAAACAAGAATAAGAATTTCCCACCTATAACAACAATTGTTTTTTTTTTTTTTTCAAGATTGATATTTCCAAAGTCCCATAGCATTTAGCCCCCTTTGATGTCTTTAGCTCAGAACAGTAGGAAACATTAATTGATTTCAGTAAGGTCACAGAGGCCTTAGAGTAAAGACCTCCTGCTATTTTAAACTCCCTTTTGATGGATGATGGGCATGTCTTCAACCTCTCATGTGCTAGCTAGGGGTGCCCCAATTGGGGTATAGAGTTGGTCAAAGCATTACATCAGGCCAAAGACATGAGTATGTTGCTTCCTAGACTTGGACCCATCACAAGACCATCACAGACCCCAAACCCACTGGTTTCAAAGCCATCATCCAAGTCATAATTTCAAGCCCATAGTGTGTTGGAGGTCCCAGTAGTGCGTGCCATGGGAGCTGCCCCATCCCTCCATGGCCTGAATGCATGGAAAGGGTTGACATTTCCAAGGCATTAAGTTTCTCTCAAATCTTTGAAAATTTTAAAGGAACATTCAGAAATAATTCAAAAGTTAGCTGTTTGTAAAAATTCACAGCAAAGCAATTCAGTAGGAGCAAGGGACCAGAACAGAACCTGAGGTCCTACCTGCATCTCTGGCCACCTCAGACACATCTTCGTTCCTCATCTCAGCCATATACCCAAGCACCGTGAAGATGACAAATCCCGAAACGAAGCTAGTCATGCAGTTCACCACACTGGTCACCAGGGCATCTCTGGAGTGGAAAACCCAAGGGGCCTGAGACAGTTCCAAGGTCTGGAGTCTAAAGAGTCTGTCTGTGTGTCTGCTCTGCCTGAGACAGGCCAGCCATGGCAAAGGCCAGCAGGCTGAGCTCAAAGGACTTTAGGACTGTCCTTGTGTCCCTTCCCCTTCTTCCAAAGCCTCACCTCTCAGGCTTGAACTGCAAACCGCCATGACCACCACACGTGGCATGGGAGAGTAGCAGGTGCAGGGCTTTTAAGAGGTGGTCCAGTTGTGAAATAGCACAGCACAGACCTCTCCTTTCAACCAGACCTTGTTCAGGAGCAGGGTCCAGGTCGGAGTGGGGGCCAGGACAGGGCCGTGGCCTCACATTTGTGAAGTCCTCAGATTTGGACTTTGACATTATCTTCAAATGAAGTCACAAGACCGCCACAGAGATACCCTGACACTTTAAAAAGAAGATCTCACCATACAACTTCAGGCTAGTGTCCCAATGCAAGGCCACATTGATTAGGGTATATACGAGTTTCCCTCCCCTCCTTTTTTAAAAAAAAATAAATTCTATAATTATCTTATGAATAGCACAAATAGATGCTGGGCATAACCATGTAATTAAGTCTAAAGATGATGAGTGATATTTAAATCATAATTGATACAACACTCCCTGTTTTGTTAAAATTTCTTAAGTGAGATTTTGCTACAAAAATTATGCATTTTGTGTTGGTCAAAATAATTCAATCATTATTTTGTTTGTGTATACATACATAAACAAATGATCACACTATAATTTTTGTTGTTAAACACATTAACTAGTTAAACCTAAATATTTAATTATGTGTTTAAATTTTTATAAGGCTGCTTTGGAACTTCTTAATTTTTTTTAATATACAGAGAATCTCACAAAACAGAAGTGGCCTGGGACCTCTGTCAACCTCTGAATGGCCCTGGTGAAGTTAACAGCCTGGGTGGGTGCTCTGGCCCTGGGTGACTTGTCCAGGGACTTTTAGCATCCCTGAGGGGCAGTGTCACCTTGGCCTGAGCCCAGCCAGCTTTGAGGCAATTGGTTCAATGTCCTTCCTCCAGACCAGCTGACTTTCACTTGCCCCACTTACAAGCTTTGCTTGGGGACCCCAGATACTCACTGGTAACAGTTGTTGTTGAATTTGTTGTAGCTAGCAAAAGCCAGTAGAACCCCAAAGCCTGGACCAAGAGAGAAGAAGATCTGGGCAGCAGCATCCACCCACACCTGGAACACAGCAGGGGTGAGGGAATGGGGAGTGAGCCCAGGCTGACGCTCATGTCTCCACTTGACTGTGCAGAGGTGAAAAATTTGCTCTCAAGGCGCATTCCAGGGATAGCCACAGATCAAGTGCAAACATATGATTTCTCTTCCTATCATTTAGGCCTAACCCCATCTGGTGGCCTCAACTGTACGTTTTATGCTTATATTTCTGGTGTAAAGTATCATTGCAGACTTGCACATTGAAACCAAATTCAGTTGTCCTACTGTCCTGTTCAGAGGAAGAGTGACTTCATTCAGTGAAATGACAGGCAGCTGCACACTATTTCCCTCATTATCTTACCCCTGTCTCCAGGAGTTTCTGCCAGTTGGGTTTCAAGTAGAAGACAACACCCCTCCAGGCCCCAGGGAGGGTGGCCCCCCTCACCAGCAGGATAGAAAGGATGATGTAAGGGAAGGTGGCTGTCACCCACACCACCTGTAAGGAAGGAGAGTGGAGGTTCAGGTTATCACCACGCTATTCCAGGAAGGGCAGGGTAGGGAGGTGGTCAGATGTCAGTGTCTTTCATTCTTAAAGACCTCCAATAAAGGAGATCCACGTCCGTCTTCTTAGGAGGCTAGGAAATATGGCCAGAAAAATCACAGCCTTCAGAATCAGCTTGGCCAGTACTAACCACCTCTAAGCCTGCTCCACATCTGCAAAATGGGGAAAATATCTAGGAGGAAATGAAGTTAGCCAATGTGTATAAAGCACTGAACATGGTCCATGATGGGTTTTCAGTAAATTATTGCTACTATTATTAATTGTGATACTGCCAGTGGTTAAAGGATTTTTTTTTTTTAAATCATATAATGGTTCTTAGGACTGGCCCATTTCTAGGATTTTCTAACAGATTTGATAAAGAGAGACTGAGGATCATGAGATGAGTTTGGTGTGGAAGGAAACAGTGATTGTACCCCAACCAGGAGCTGTCTAGGCTACCAGGTTCTGGGTTTGATTCCCCGTGGGGCCCCTTGGCAAGACAGCATCCTCCTCACCTTGCCAGATGATCTGACGCCTTTCCAGATGCTGAAGTAGATAACCGTAAAGATGAGCATGATGCAGAGGGCAAGCTGCCAGCTGATGGCTCCCAGGTCCTGGAGTCCCTTTGACCGGTGGATCTGTAGGACATGCCGCCTGGAGTGAAAGACAAAGAAAGGCCGTGGAAGGTTCTGAACAATGACCTGAGCACACAATCTGTGATACTTCTGCTAGGGTGCCCAGAGAAAAATGGACACTGTGCTGCAAGGACAAAGGGGTCACTGAGGCTCAGGAAGAGCTGGGATTGGCCCTGCCCATTCTGAATGAGCAGGTAGCATGTTCAGCTGACTGCCCCAGGAAGAGTGCTCAGCCCACAGGCAGACTTCCCATTCTCTTTGCTGGCTGAGACTTGAACCCCTTGACCAACATAACTGGCTTTTGGGTCCATGAGGATTTATATGTGTGGGTGGTGGGCCCCCTCCCCAACCCTAAAGCACTCTCTCTTTGGGCTGCAATTGCCTGAAATTCTAGCTTTAAAGAATACTGCCTTCTCCAAGCATCTTCTTCCAAAGGGTAAAATACCACTTATAAAGTCAACACATTAAGGCAGAAACTATGTGAATAGTTTTAAACTACTGAAGTAGCAGCATGCTTTGCTTGCATGACAGTTGGCTGACAGGAAAAAGGGCAGTTTTGATGCAGGGGAGTCACTTCAGAATGCGAAAGTAGGGATTGGCCTGGGCATGTTGGAGCAGCCTGGCGTGACACATCAGAAAGGAGAGGGCAGGCAGAGAAGGGCCAGATTATGGAGCATTCAGGGTAGTTTCCCAACTCCAAATCCTGCATGGGGCTGGCCTTGACACTCCCCCACTTCTAGTCACTCCCCAACCCCTGAAAGCTTCATCTCTCAGAAATCTGCAGGAAAGTGGTGAAAAGCCCCTAATCCCTGTCTTCTTCCTAAGAAGCCAAACCCCAGGGGTGTGGCCTGCCCCTAACAGACCACCCCCTCACTTACATGCACTTACATGTAAAATTCTTCAGCAGGTGACGTGGAGTGAAGTGTCCAGGTGATGTTGTCCTTGGAGAAGTAGTTGGTGCAGTTGCCAGTGTTCCAGGAGTTCTTGCAGCTGGTCCAGGGCAGCCGGTCCGTGAAGGAGGAGATGAGGTAGTAGAGTGCCCAGGCCATGATGGTGTTGTAGTAGGAGGCGATGTAAAAAGCAATGATGCAGATGGCGTAACCAATCCCTGGGCAGTGGTGAGAGAGCGTGAGAGAGGCCAAGTTAAAGGGCAGCCCTGCAGTGAAAGGCTGAAGCTGGGTGCTGGAGGGCGCCGCAGCCAGGTCAGGGGTGAGGGTGGGGAGAGCCATCCATTTCATTGGCCAAGGACTCTGAGAGTAAGTGGCAGTGTGGTAAATCACTCATACATATTCACAAGGTTACATGTTTTAGAAAATGTGTGTGTGTCCCATTAATGCCTTAAAATTATTAGATTTATTTTACTTTTAATTGCTATTTATTCTATTTCTCCTTAACTATTTCACACCACTTGGTAGTCAAAAACTTAATTACTCAAGTTATCTCCCAGAGATACCTAAGGCTTAACTGAGTCCACAAGAAAATCCCAGCTCACACCCACTGATGGAAATCACGACTTCCTTGGAGGCCCCACTCACCCACCCACTCACCCAAACCCTTCAGTTACCTTTGAAAATTGGGCAGATTTTCCTCCATATGGAAATGCATCCATTTCGGTGGTACTGACCCAGAGCGAGCTCCATGTAAAAGAGTGGGATGCCCCCAAAAATGGCCATGATGGTGTAGGGGAGGAGGAACGCCCCTGAAGTAGATGAAAGACAATTTCACTACCTGCCCACATCTGTCCTGGGACAGCCCGACTGATCTGGACCCAAGGGGTCATGGTGAGAAGCACAGAGCCTCTGATTCTCTGTGCTGTGTGACCTCACATCGTGCTCCCTGGTCTTAGTCCTTTGCCGGAAATAGTAACAGACAGAGTTCCACAGCTAAAATGAGGTTTCAGAGGAGACCGGCAGAGTAAATGGAAAGAAAGCTAGATTTGCAACTCAATAGAACAGGCACTGGGACCACCTCTACTCCTAACTGCCCGGAGAACCCTGGGCCACTTCCACTCTCTGAGCCCCAATTTCCTCCTCTATAAAACAAGATGGTTGTGGAGAGGTGAGGTTCCCAAACCAACCACTCATCATAATCACTGCTGAGCTTAAAAACGCACACCCAGTTTCCTGGGTCCACCCCAGACTTCCTAAAGCAGAATCTTCAGGTACCGGTGTGACACAACATTTTTTTTCAAGCTCCCCAGGTGATTCTGATGCAACTGGCATATGGGACCCTTGGAACAGATCACCTGTGACAATCTGTGAATCAGCTATAACATCTATGAATCACTGAATTAGTATCTTTGTTCATTGGTATTATCTGTGGCTCCAAACACTTGATTATTGATATTTTGCTATATTTCCATAATTCCTTTGAGCCAGAATGATGCCTCACAAGCCACTTTTGCAGGTGTGGCTGAAAAGGGCAATTTTTCACAGAACAAGAAAGTGCAGAGCTGCTGCATAACTGGAGATGCTCACGTCCCCTGGATCTTGCGGCTGAGGCTGAAGTTGGAAATGCCACATCGAGGATTGCTCACCTGCAGCCTGAGTTTTAGCCCAAAGGCTGGGTCAGCTGTAATTTTTCCCTGACAACTTTTCCCTTCCATAAAATGCTTTGAACCTAGAAACCTTAAGTCAGTGCCACTCAGAAAGGTCCACATAACTTACAATGTTGCTGGGTAAACCTGGCTTGAGAATAAAAACCACATTGTGTTTTCGTGGTGACCTTCGTCCAAACAGTTTGCTTGATTGGCTTTACAGTAGAGAATGAGTGTGGGGGAAACGTCACCAGTGACCCAGCCCCTTATATAATGCTTAGGCTAAAGGTGACCTCCTGAGCCGGAGATAAGGTGGTTATGACTTCCACTTCTCCTAGGCAGGAAGCTCTGAGCTTCCTGGGGTCCCCTGGAGCTGCCTTTGCAGCTGCATGGACAGAAGTCCTTCCAAGATGCAGCAAATCCAGGCACCTTTTGTTGAGCCATGGAAGAAGTGAGGGTGACTCAAATGAATTATCCCCCAAACCACATTTTAGCTGCCCTCCCAGATCTGTTGCTAGAGTTCCCATCAAAATAAATATCAACTGATTTGACACCCATTTCTTGTCCTTTTCCTAGTCTGATAAGTCCAATGTCAACACATTGGCCCCGTACCTCCTCGCTTCTGCCCACCCGCCACCCTCCCCTAGGCTCGCGTATTCACGCCCGCAGTCAGCTACTATTTTTGATAATCTACAAGTTATCTGTTCTAGAGGATATAAAGGTACAAGGAAGAACAAAATATGGTGTCCAGCCTCAAAAATCTAACACTCTTGTAGGGCATAAAAGGTAAAATCCATGCATGGCTTGGGGTTGGCATTAATGTCATGCTGTGGCTGGGTTTGGCTTTGGATTATGCCCAGACTGGTAACTTAAGACTCTGGACCTAAATTGATGCCCTTCTCTGAACTCACACAGGTCCAAAGGCTTAGTAGGATCTGGGACCCTGGAGTCCCATCCCCCCCACCCAGTTTTTCCTTACACAGATCTAACCCCTCTGGACTCTTCCAAGCAGAACCTGCCAGCGGGAGTGAAGGAATTCAGCACAGTGATGACGGCTGTTCCCTCATTCAGAGCTGGTGCAGAACTGAGCTTGGATAATGCAGGATGGGAAGGAGGTCCTTCAACAAATGGAGCACTGATGATGCTGGGTATCTGTGAGGCCAGGTTTGGGAGGCTCTCATCCAGCTGCATGACCCAGAAGGCCTCAGACATGCTGACTTAAGCTTCTGGCTCACTGGAGATGTGTCTCTTAGACAGTTTGAAAGTCTAAGCAGTCATGTTCCCAGATTGATCAGTCAAGAAAGAAAAGACTGTGGCCCACCCCTGCATCAGAGCCTGTACTCATGGCCCATGACACTTACCCCCTCCATTCTGGTAACAGATGTAGGGAAAGCGCCAGACGTTGCCCAGGTCCACGGCATAGCCAATAACTGAGAGGAGGAAATCCATCTTCTTGCCCCAGGTCTCCCGTTCACCCTGATGAACCTCAGCCACTAGGGTGGTGGTGGCAGCTGAGATAGAGTGCCGACTGTCATCTTCTGCACCAGGGTTTGGAACTGCTGAGTACCCGTTAGATATTTGGCTGGACTCTGCTTTATCCCCTGGGATAGGGACACCCTTCTGTAGAACTCCATTTTCCTGGCAATCTTCTCCATCCTTACATGCTGACAGCTCCTCCTGAGAATTCAAGGGTGTGGTCTCCATCCTGCTGGTTAGTAAATGATATTGATGCCCATCTGCCAAGGACCCAGACTGAATTCTTGGTGCTCAAATTTGTGGATCTTGTCAGAGCTTTATATCAATGGGATTGAGAGCTCTGTTGGGAAGGCACACAGAGAAAGGAGAATAAAATTAGGCATTTTACTTGTCTTTTATTTTAGTTTATCATACATCTTAAACTTATTAGTTAATGATATTACGAATGCGTCTGTTAAATGTGACATCCTATTTTCTTTATGAGAGTCAATACAATCAACTAAAATTTTCAACCTATCCAGAGTGTCAATCACAGTCAAGTAATTTGATAAGGAAACAACAAAACAAACAAAAATAGACAGCAAATCACCAAGGTTTTGCACAGGTTCTGTTTAAGAACAACGCATTTGTTTCATTTTGAGGGACCAGACTGTCACCCCATAGTTTACCAGTAAGTCAGAGAACATAAGGAGGAAGAGGCTCACTCCCAACCTTCACCGAGCACTTACTTTGTCCTGGGTGCTGTGCTGGGAAAATCATAACAAATAAAGAAGCAGCTTCTGCCTGCAAGTAGTAGGAACAGTCTTCTCCATCGTTTAAGGTGAACACCCAAAGTTATATTTTACATAAACTAGAGATATGATTTTAAAAGGCAAAGAGCAAAGGATACAGGTGAAAGGCCACACGCTGTGAGGCATGCCTAGCTCTCCAGCTGTGGATTTTTTCAGTCTTCCTTTGGCCCAGGTCTGGGAGGCTTTGGGCAGATTCTAGCTGCCTCTGGCTGTTTCTGGTCCATCTGTGCCTGGCTTTCCTGCGTTCCCATTATGCCTCCACAATTTTGACAGGGCTTCAAATGGCACTGCTGCTCACCATTCATTTTTCTCGCCACTCCCCAGCAACTCCTGTGGCTGAGCCACTTGTTAATCTGCAACAGTGGCGGGCAGGGTCACCTCCCATCCAGGAAAGCCTGGGAGAAGAGTGTGCAGGTTATTGATGCCGGCATGGCTGGTGCCTCTGTCCCCATGTGCCTCCATGGGGCAGGCTGAGCCAGGGCTGCTATGTCTTCATTTCACTGCTGTGCACCGGGGCACAGGGAAGTCAGCTCGACTCTCACCTGGGCTGAAGTCTGAGACATCAAACATGGGATAGAAATCTGAGCCCTTTTGGACTTTAAACTTATGGCCTGTCATAAAGTTGTAAGCAGCCAAGACCTTCCAGCTCACTTCATTTCTTCTGGGCCTGAGCGTTGCAAACTCTTGAAACACTTTGGGAGTTGAAACATGTTTCTGCTTAGCTAAGATCATATTATTCCTTTCTATGAAAAGATGGCCAGGGAAGGACTGTGACCATTATTTGTAACTGCAAAGATCTGATGCTTACCCTCTAAGTCCAACAGTAGGAGAATGGCCAGGAATTGGCAGCTAATAAAAATGGCAAATGTGTGTCTCCTACTTGTTTGGGGCTTTCAGTGGCAAGAGTTTGATATGAACACCATAGGATGTAGGTAATTAGAGTTTTGTATTTGTTGGGTTCTTTTTTTTTTTTTTTTCTTTCTGTGAAGTGGAAAGTAAAAATTTTAAAAGGGATTGATTGTTGCCAAAAATATCTACAGAAACAAGAGATAAATCAGCTCTCTGTAGCTAGGGCATGTGTGTGTGTAAGGGGGTAGACGTCCTGGGTTCCTTACTATCCAGTTGCTTGGTCCATACCCCCACCCCACCCAGGCTCAAGGATGCAAACACACTCCTAGAAGAATACGGGTTTCTGAGGAAGCGTGATCCAGACAAAACCTCTCCCTGCTCCCCCTTCCTTGGGACCTCAACTACACTTGATAGACTTTTAAATAACCACACATCCTCTCATCTACATAAGTGACCATTTATCAGGCCAAGGGATTTTTTTTCTTGAGAGAGGAGAGAGAGAGAGAGAGATGATGAGATGTCAATATATTTAAATATACAGCTAAATTAAACCTGAACTTGGCAGTCTGGGGTTGTGTTGAGAAAAGGCCTGTGTACTTCCTCTGGCCTCTATCAATGACATGTTTTCCAATTAAGCACTGAAGCACTTGAAGACCAAATGGCAGAGACAGAGAGTTCTTCCACGTGTGGCCACTGAGCTGACAGAGCCTGCCCTTGCCCTGGACCCCCTTCCCCGGTTCTTTCTTCCTCTACCCCCCCCAAATTTTCGGTAGGAACTTCTTCCTATCTTTGATGCCGCCACTCTCCTCTCATTTAAATTGAAGCTCAAAGAACAACTGCGCCGCCCAGCCCGGAGGGTCTACAGAGGGGAAGCATGGTCTGTCCCAGAAGCAACACACTGGGGAGGGGGAAGAAACATTTAGCCACAGCAGTGATTTGTCACCCTCCCGCCTCAGGAGCCAAATGACTTGTTCTGGATCTTATTTACTTTTCTGTTGGGGCATCCTACAGGGAGTTTGGAAACTGTACGTGGGTGAATGGATTTTGGGGGGCAATGTGTGCTCTCCGGGGTCCTCAGGTTCAGTCCCTGAGACATGTGATTTTGATTTCTTGGCAACTATGACGAGCAGCTCCTGGAGGAATACTACACTATTCTCCATTTCTGTTCTAAGCCATTAACAAAGGTCTTATTTCCTAAAATATCCCCCTGTGTTTCTTAAATTTTTTTATTTTAAAATTTTTTATCAATAGGCTGATGGCCCAAGTGCAAGAAAAGCTGTTAACAGCATCCCTCAGGCAACTCGTGACTTCAGGTTGCCTCTCCCCAGAGGTTGTCCTCTCTCCTTCCACCTCTGCTTTCTGGGGTTCTCCTATTGTGCCCCATCTCTGATCATAGAACCAGGGTGCAAATGGAAAGCTACAGCCACTTGAAGCCACCAAACAGACAGGAGACACACCTTTCCTTTTCTTCAATTCACTCTGCCTCTCCCAGTGAGAGGAAAACTCCCAGTTACTAACTGGGTTGGCCAGGAGCAGATGGCACATGCCTGGGCCCCTTTCTGCCTGCAGGCTCCTTCCCCGGAGTCCTTTCCTACTTTCCTGATTCTACACAGCACTGATTGGCTTTTTCTGCTGAGACCAGCAGATAACAATGGTTGAGAGCAAGCCAGCCTGGGAAAGTAGAAATCTGAGTTGTTAAGAATGCTGGTTTCTAAGAATGCTGTCTTGAAAGCTTTCTTTTTTAAAGATATTTTTATCCTGTGGTTTAAAAAAATTGCACATGAGGTCAATATTACAGTGGTGACCTCCCCCAGGCAGCCTTTGAGTTTCTCCATTGCCAGAAAAAGCCCAAAAGCTTCTTTTGCACCTTGAATGTATGCTGCTGTCCCGGGGTGGGCGGGCCATGTGACCCAGCCCTGCTGTGGGATGACAACCAGACAGGCATGAGCCTCGTCCCCCCAGGTCTCCGCACACGAGTGGCAGCACAGCGGGGCAGCTGGCCAGCTGATGGTTGTGGTCATCACACCCCCTTCCTCTCAGCCCTGGGACGGAGCTTCCCTTCCCCACCTAGTAAGAAAGGATTGTTTCTATTTAAACTTCTCCTGACCAAATCTCCATTTCTCTTTCCACAGACTCTGTCTCTGTAGCCAGGGGAACCAGTACTTGAACAAGCATGTAATCAGAACGATTAGCCAGAAAACCACCCAGCCCTTTGGAAATGCCTGTGACTCTGCTTGGCTGGTGCCCATCCGTATATTCTAATGAGAAATACTATCGAAGTTTTGTACTTTGACTTCATGTGTCAAGACAAAGTGAGTTCATTTCTCAGGAAACTCAATTTTCGTTTTCAAAAACAAAACATAACCCAGCATGAATTATGGCCTTAACACTGAGATAAGATTAATTATAGGTTGTATGGCCAAGTGGCAATTTGCATTCTCTATTGAGAAAGCGTCTAAAGCTCCCAAGGCACCTACCGTGGGTGACAGGAATTATGGCGCTCTAGTGCCTCCCCACACAATGAACATTGAATCTTGTCCACTGCCACGGAGAAGCACTAAGTCAGCAAAGATGTATCATGTGCCTACCATGTGCTAGGCTCTTCGGAGACAAGACAGGCACATGCCATCAGGGAGCCCATGGTACAGGGCCAGACTCCGAAAAGGAAGACTGGCTGCTAGGGACAGCACCAGCAGGCTTCAGGAGAGAGGCTGCTGCGTATCCTGTTATCAATGGAGGCTGCTGCTGACTTGCACTCACATTTCTAGCTCCAAAGTTGCCCTCAGGTTTAAAAGGCGTCCTTTCGCTGCTATTTTGTGGTTTCTGTCACAGGACTTTGGAATTTAGTTGCTTCTTCTCACCGGCTCCACCGTGTAAAATGATGGTCTGCATTTGTATCTGTTGAGGGACTGCTGAGTTCTCGGAAGGGGACAGTGTCACAGGTCATACGCCATAAGGGCCCTGGCTTGCCTTTCAAACAAAACAAAGAGGCTTCAATGACATAAATAAAGGGGGTAGAGAAAATCTGCTTGTGTTTTGGACATAAAAGTGGAAATGAACTCCATTATCACAGCCATCTCCTGACCCAAAGTGTTCCTTACATGAGTGAGTCGGACAGTTTAATTATTTGGTGAAGAATTAAATAGGATAAAATCCTCAGCACCATTTGGGCCAATTATCAAGTGAAAGAAAAAGAATCTCTATCCAGAACTTTCCCTGCCTGGAAGAGAACAGCCCGAGCTTCTCTCCACACAGAGTATAAGATCTAGAGGATTAGCCATTTGTGATGGGGTTGAGATCACCCCAGAGGCTGGCCAAAAATACAAAGTATTATTTATTTTGACTTTAGTAAAAAGAAATGCATTTGGCATAGACAGGCATGAATAACTCTCCTCCAGTGAAAATGAACAGCCAAAACTAGACTAATCACCTTCCTGAGCCAGCATCCAATGTTCCTGCGTGTCCACAACCCACAGCTCTCCTTTCTGTTTCACAGAACTAACTGGAATCCCAGATCTACCACTTATTGGCTGTGTGACTCTGGGTACGTCACTTCTCTGAGCCTCCATTTCCTCCTGTGTCAAAGCAGACCGTTAAAATTCCTACTTCTTAAAGGCTGTTGTGGGAATTAAATAAAAGTATGACAAATGCTTGACTCAGTGTCTAGCCCATGGAAAGCACCAAATGACGGTGAGTTTGACATCCACTACCACCACCACACACATGCTACCCAATCTGCTTTTCTCCTTCACGCCCCGGTCATTCCTGGGAAACTGAGGTCCACAAGCCTTGTCACTTAAGTGACTGTGGCGCACAGCCTGGTGTCACTGGTTCATGCTTGCTCCTCACAATCAGTGACCTGGAGTCACCTAGGAAACCTGTAAACAACAGATTCCGGGTTGCTCTCCCAGAGATTCTAATTCAAGAGGTCCATCTGGGGGCCCAGGAAACTGCATTTTAAACAAACGCCCCAGGCTATTCAGGGGCAAGTGGGCCACTGAACATGCCCTGGGCATCCCCACCTGTACCATCCTTCCCTCTAACCATCCTGTACCCTCGGAAGCCCAGCTTAAGTTCCTATCCACCCCCCCCCCCCCCC